CTTTCGTCCATGAGTAGCTGATTAATACACAACCTGCAACCGAATTGCCTTTAATTATGACACAGTCTGTATTTCTATAATAAACATGCCACGTAATATTTTCCATAATTTTTTTTAGTTCTGAGAGTCAGAATCGACTCAAAGGCAGTCAGTTTGGTTTTGTTGGCTTAATATGATTTAATATGGAGTGCAGGAGGTCTAGTACTAAGGAGTTGTGCTGTCGACCAAAGGCAGGCAGTGTGAATCCATCTGCTGCTTCGCGGGAGAAAGATGGGCTATCTACAATCTCCTCTCGTTGAGATTTACAAGCTCTGAAAGAAAATTCCTTGGATGGTCATCAAACCATAGATTCTACCCCCACTCTCCAGCACTGTTGTTGTTGTGTACAGACCTATAGCTGAGCCTCCAGCAGATTTTCAAGGCAGTGAATCACATGGGAAGAAGTTGCCCATCCTTCTGCGGAGCAGCTGGTGGATTTGAACTATGTGCTTTTGAGTTGACAACACAACTCCTTGTCACTAGGTCAAAATTTAAGACATCCAGTTAAACGCAAATTTAAGATAAAAAAACGAATAATTTTTTTGTAAAGCATGTTGCATGCATTATTTGGGATGCAATTATGCATTTTAAAGTGTTTTGCTTATTTGAAATGTAAATGTCAGATTGTTTTGTTTTTCATTTGTGTATTTATATTTCCTAAATCTGGCAATTTTACTAGAGTGGTAAAAACCAGCATGGCTGTGCTGTGACAGAAGTAATCACAAACTCTGGCTGTTTTCCCACACAAGAATCTCTTCAGCCGGTAGGAAGTAGAGAATGCTCAGGTTCTTGAAAGGAGACGCTGTAACCAGGCAACCGCGCAGCGAACGCACTGGACCACGAGGGACATTTGGATAGCTCGCGTTGCATTTTGGGAGTAGTAGTTTTCTAAGTTCAGAGTTGCCTCCACTCAAGGGCCACCGGACTCCAACTCCCGGCAGCGCTAGAGGGCTCTTTATAGCACTTAGAGCTGACTAACTTAACCCTCTGAAAGACTGAGTGCTGGCAGGCTAGCATTGTAAGACAGCAGGGCTGTTGCCGAGAGTTCGAGCGTCAGTAATTCCTCTAAAAGGTTAAATCGAAGACTCTGGCTCCGATGCTGAGAAAATAGGTCTTCCAGAACGCCGCGGAGACGCTCGCTAGCGTAGTGACGTTACGATACTTTGTGATTGGCTGGGGCGGGTCCCCGCTGCAGCCGCGGGAGGTCCGGACGCCAGCGGCCATGGGACTGTGGGTGAGTACGCGCGCGTCTGGCGGGGACGAGCCGGCCGGACTTGGGATCCGGAAGTCGGCTTGGAAGATACCAGGTGTTGAGCTGGGCTGAGAGTGGGTGTAGACGGCGGCTCTGGGGCAGTGTCCCCGAGGTTACCGCCGGCCTGCCTCCTTCCTCCCTTTGGGCCTGACTTGCCTCCGGCGGGTCGCTGCGGCCAGGAACCGAGGCCCGGCTGGTGCCTCAGCGAGTGATGTCCCGGCAGCGCCCCCGGGACAGTGGAGGGACCATCGACTTGACCCCTGCCCCACCGGACCTGCCCGATGCCCCTGGGGAGACTGCGGCTTTTGACCGCATCCAGGGGCTCCATGGCCCCAGGAGTGACTTTAACTACCGTCTCGCACCTGACAACTTAGTGGCTGGGTGGAGACTTCTGGCAGATTGTGAAACTTGTCTGGCGTCACGTTCGTAAAGTAAGGGCTCTAAGAGTTAGATCTCCAGCTTTCAGACCCGCGATTCTGTCCTGGAGCCTCAGATGACTTCTTTACGCCCCTGGAGTTGTTTAGGAGTGCTCAGGCTGACTTGTACCAGAACGCCGCCAAGAACGTTTTCCCTGATTTCATTTGGCTCTTTACTCGCTGCTTTCATTATCACTCATCTTTTTTAATTGAATAGAACTGGAAGTTCAGGTTCAGGCGCTAAAACCTCAGTGAGAAGATGTCAGTTGAGCTACTTAAAAGCCGGCGCCTTGCGAATTTGAACATTGCCCTTTCCAGTTTGCTGATGCTGACTTTTGATTAGTCCATCCAGTTCAGTCAGCGTAGATTGTGACTGCTGAGAACGTGTTTTAAAATGCAGAGCTGGATTTCTAGGTGTGGAATCGTTAAGACCAAGTTGGCATGCTTTTTATGGGTGTGTGAGGAGTTAGGAAACTCAGCTTTCAGAGGACTTTCCTTTTGTGTAAAAGTTTCTGGAGCTGTGGAATTCTCTCTTGCAAAGTTGACGATTTTCACTGGATTGCTTAAGCTGTTTTACCTTGAAAGTCTAAGAAGCCGTGTGGAGTGGATATTTCACATTGATTCGGATCGAAGGGCAACAGTTCCTATTTTAAATGTAGGAAATTACTCCAGATCCAGCCTGCTTCTTAACTTTTTAACTTTTAAGCCTACTTTTTAACTTTTGTCTTGCAACTCCAAATGAAGCAAAGGACATCTTTTGGATTGGCTGGAATGGGAACTGAAGGAAGAGTTTTTAAAAAAAATATGTTGAGTGGAAGAAAACTTATAACTCATTGTCAAATAAAGTTGTAAAACTGTCAAAAAATATGTTGGGCTTTGTTTGATCATTGCCACTTTTGCATAAGAGACAATGTGGATGTGTGTTACACCTGCTCTGAAAAGTTCTTGCTCCAGGCCTGATTTAATGTAGGCAACAGAGTTTATATGAGCAGAGTTTTATGAGATTAATTGAATCATAAGCATCTGTGATTTCTTTTCCTCTCTTTACCCTCATCCAGCTAGATAAATGTTTCTTGCAAACGTTATTTGTAAGTTAAGGACACAGTGGGGAGTCTGAAGGAAGACAATCGAATATTTCTGTGTATTTGTGACTTCAAGGAGAATGTTGGGTAGACTGGGCAGTAGGGCCACATGTAAGAAGTTGTTGCCATTGAATTCATTCTGACTCATGGGGACCCATGTGAAAGAGTAGAGCTGTCATGTACCAGAAACCTCATGGCTGGTGGCTAAGTGCTTGATTAAAAGTGGGCAAAAATTCTGTAAAGGGCCAGAGGGCAGATGTTATTGCTCTGTGGGTTATGCTGTCTCTGATAAAATACTCTGCCATTGTAGCCCTATAATAGCCATGTTATTGTTAGATGCTTTGGAATAAAATACAACTGATAGCAACCCTGTGAACAACAGACCTGAAACCTGTCCTCTCCTGTGCCATTCTCATCATCTCTGACATACTTGAGCCCATTCCTGCAGTCACTATGTCAATCCATCACACTCTGCGGGTCTTCCTCTTTTTCACTGGTCCTCCACCTTTCCTAGCTTGTCACTTTCCAAGGATTAGCCTCTCCTAGCAACATGCCCAAAGTATGTGAGACGAGCTATTGACATCTCTCCAAGGAGCATTCTGATTTGTGCTCTAATAAAACTTTTCATTATAAAAACAGATGATGGGACAGGACAGTATAACTTTTAACAGTGTAGCAGGTTTGAATCCTGACCTCTTGTTCATTTTGTATAGCAAGTCATCCCGGAAGTTAGGGGTATAAAACAATAGCCACTTTGTCATTTTTCACAATTCTGCCCTCTCTGAGGTTCAGCTGGATAGTTCTCCTGGTCACTAACGACTGCCTTTAGCTAGAGAGTAGACCTAGCTAGAAGTGTTGGAATGCTGAGCCTCTCCCTTGCTCCATGTAGACTCAACCCCCACCCCTCCCATATGCTCTCTCCCCATGGTAGCCGAACGTCTTACATGGTACCATGACTATGGGTGGCCAAAAGTGTGCAGATAGAAGCTTCCAGACTTTTTATAGTCTGAGGACCCAAATTCACACAGTATCAGTTCTCCCACATTCTAGACCAGTGGCTAAGCACTAAAGCCAAAGTAGGGGGCTACATAATGGCATAAATATGTGGAAACCATTCTAAATTCTAGGTGGCCATCAGTGAAACACACTGTGTGCTATCTCTGGCTGAGTGCTCTTGGACAATTCATTAGTCTCACAGAGCTTTATATCTTCTACTTAATGGGAATAATGCCTTTTAATGGGAATAAAAGCTTTGGCTGCCAGTCTGGGGCTCTTTCCAGGCTAGGAAAGGGGAACGGCAGCATTCTGCAAAGGTTTTTGTTTTCTGGCTCCGGGTTGAGACTAGGGTGTGGCTTTCCTCCCAACAAGGTGTGAACTGATTGGATTTGCCCTCATATTTAAAAGGCTTCTGGGGTTTGTGAATATCCTGATTAAAACAGGCTTGGAAGGAGGTGTGCCATCCACTTCCAAAAAAAGCTTGTCTCCAGAAACTATGAACTTGGAGGAAAGTTGTAAGTTTTGTGTTCAAGACTTTTGTTCATAGGGTCGCTATGGGTCATCTATGGCACTTAACAACAACAACAATGCCTTGTAGGGTTTTGCTGGTGCTGCAAACCTCTTATGGAAACCTCTCAACACATAGTGCCTATTGGGTGGTGGTCATTCAACAAGTAGAAGCTGGTAAGTGATGAGAGGAATAGAATTTGAATGAACTGGTTTTGTTAGCCTGATAAATTACATACTGTATTATAGCTTTATTTGACTAATTATGAATAGTAGTATTTTAAGGACAAAATTAAGACATAAGTTGTCTTAATTTTGTCATACAGAGCACTGGTATGTTACATTTTGAACTTAAAAGGTCAGCAGTTCAGATCCTCAAACCACTACGGGAGAAAGATGGGCAGATTCCTCCCATTAAACTTTATAGCCTCAGAAACTTGATGGAGGCTTGCCAGGGGGTAGAATCATCTCAGTTTGGGTTGATTAGCTCATAGTAAGTCCTGACAAAGTCATTGTCCTCAGATAAATGAATGATCAGCTTTGATTAATTTGTCAGGGAAAAGTTACTATTTTCATTAATATGAAAGTAGCATTCATATTGCAAAGTGAAAGTTGGACTGTACCTTGTCCCTGAGTTAAGATCCTGCTTTGCTCTTTTGCAGTTGATCAGAGACTCAGTGTCTCGCCTGTGCTGGTGTGAAGACTGATGTCTGAGCCTTCTCAGTATGGCCTTTAGAGGAGGAGGGTGGCCTGGCCTGCCCACGGCTGCTCTCCCCCACACTAATGCTGGAAGATACTTCATGTGTAGAACTCGGACTCATAACATATGCATGGTGTCTGACTTTTTCTACCCCAACATGGGAGGCGTGGAAAGCCACATTTACCAACTCTCTCAGTGCCTCATCGAAAGAGGGCACAAGGTCATAATAGTCACCCATGCTTATGGGAATCGAAAAGGCATCCGGTACCTCACTAATGGCCTCAAAGTCTATTACTTGCCTCTCAAAGTCATGTACAACCAGTCCACAGCCACGACCCTCTTTCACAGTCTGCCACTGCTCAGGTACATATTTGTTCGGGAGAGAGTCAACATAATCCATTCACATAGCTCGTTTTCCGCCATGGCCCATGATGCTCTCTTCCACGCCAAGACCATGGGGCTGCAAACGGTCTTCACGGACCATTCCCTTTTTGGATTTGCTGATGTCAGCTCGGTGCTTACTAACAAGCTGCTCACTGTGTCTCTTTGCGACACAAACCACATAATCTGTGTCTCATACACCAGTAAGGAGAACACTGTACTCAGAGCAGCACTGAATCCTGAAATAGTGTCTGTCATTCCGAATGCGGTCGACCCTACTGACTTCACTCCAGATCCGTTTAGAAAGCACGAAAGCAGAATTACCATCGTGGTTGTCAGCAGACTGGTTTATAGAAAAGGTAAGGAAACGAGAGCTCCCCTCTCACTGTGTACGGCTCTTTATTCTCATACAGGCTGCCGAATGATTGTGTAGCTTGACTCTTTGCTACATAAGTCTAATGTTGTTTTATAGATCCAAAATGAAATTTTTAGTACGATGCTGGATGCTGGCTTCCACCAACCTTTAACATTAAAATAGTCTTTTTTAAAAAACCCAACAAACACAAAACAGTAATCTCAGACTGTATATTATTTATCAACTTAATATTATTAAATTTTATTATCATGAGTAGGTCAGATCTCTTTAAGAACTTTAGACGTCCTGCACATGGCTCACATTGACAGGGCAGAACTTACCACATAGCTTACTGATTGCAAAGTAAGGCCGTTTCATTGCAGGTATTTTAAGCACTAAGAAAAGCACAAAGATGGAAATAAAAACCACTGTAAATATCTCCTTCAAACTCCCCTAAGGAATATCTAACGCCTAGCTCTCCCGGCTCGTGTGTTTGCACCTTAGTGTTGTGCGGCTATGTGCTTCATTCAGGCCTACAGCAAACATACTGCTAACATAGTATAGCAAGTGAGTGAGCATCAGGGTTAGCTAGTCTGGGTCCAGATCATGGCTCTGCCCTGTTGTGTGAGCAAGAAGAAGTCAGGTCTCAGTTTTCTCATTCATAGAATTGGGGCAGCAGTGGGGATTGTCAAGCTTCAGGGATGGTCCCTGCTCTTGGCCCAGTCCTAACTCATGAGTGCTTGCTGTTGGTATGTGAGTGCTTCTGCAGTGCTGACAGGATGGACTGCCTTCTACAGAAGCCTGAAACAGTCCTCAATGTGCTTTATTCTTTTTTAAATTTTTTTATTTTTTTTTCTAATTTAAATGAACATCTACAGAGATTTTGGAATTCCATTCATTCATTGTTGCACTTTTCTCCCTGCCCACCCCACCTCACCGCCCCCCCAACCCCCGCAATTCACTCTTCTCCTTGAAAAGTAAAAGAAAAACTACTGAGCAGCCTCCATTCTGGACCCCTGTCATGACAATAATACCCAATCATTTATCCCTTTTACATAGTTCTCTCCCTCATCAGTTTCAATGTCTTGTACATCATTCCTCAGAATCTATGTTTTCTTGATGTTGAGCTTCAAACCATATTGAAGATTATAGTACTTGACCTTCTGCAACAAACACTTCCGATCTTTCTCTGTTTCACCTACCAGTGTTATATCATCTGCATAATGCAGGTCATTGATGAATCTTCCTGCAATCCTCATGTCACATTCTTCCTCATAGAGTCTAGTCTCCTGGATTATGTGCGGCCCTCGGGCCAGAAAAGGAAACATAATCTACACAGGAGTTCTACAGGACACGTCACCTTCCCTTGGAGACAGCACA